GGCGAGAGGCGAGAGGCGAGAGCGAGGACGGGGCGAGACTGAGGACGGGGCGAGACTGAGGACCGAAGCCACAGTAAACACTGACTGTCGAAAACAACGGTTTGAGCCCGAGGGAGGGGATGAAGGTTTTTCCTTTTTATGTAAAACCCTTTGGCATCACCTACAGAACGAGCATCAGAAACGTAAAGGCTTGAAACTGGGAGAAGTCTACTTTCGGGTAATTCATCAGACAGGGGAGTCCACGAGACCAGCAATGAGTCGGAAATCACCTGTAATCTAATGTAAAACCCTGAGATTAACACTATTCCTGTGATTACAGCTAAAAGAAAAACTGCTTTTTCCTGATGGTCTACTTTTCAGTTCTTGTATTCCTACTGACAAAGCAACCATTCTTAGGAAGACCTGTTATTTTCTCCTTGTGGTTCTTGAAGAAATCACCACAAATCTTATTTTAGGCTAAATTCAGCTCCAAAATGCAGTCTTCACAAAACAATGTTAACAATGAAACTGTTTTTTAACAAATGTTCTGATTGTTTTATGAAATCTGCGATTTCCAACTGAGTCAGACATGACATTTTACTACTGTTCAGTATATTTCTAGGATGATAATGTCCCACCTGACCTCTGGGTCCCTGTATGTTTAAATTCAATCAGGATAAAATCAGGACAGATTTAAACTAGGATGGAATAATGTATTACCAGCCTCTTCAAAGCCATATCTAAAATTAAAAATACAATTTTCTCTTTACATAAAATAAAGGAAATATTAGTGAAGATGTGCATTGAAAATATTTAAAATTATTCAAAACATGGATATATTTTTGCATTTAAAGCGATATAAATTTCATGATGTAATTAAAAAATTATTTACACAAACCAGTGTAATGTAACAAATTCACACATCATGTGCATGGACAGTCTCTTAGTACTTCACTTATGGTGTAATTCAAGTGTAATTGTTTTACAAGCAATTTCTCCATTTTTTTTATTCAAAGCTACAGTATGTTCAATAAGGCAACAGTCACTAGTCATGATTTCAGCCAGTGGAGACACATCTACAAACTAAGAAGACGACGTCAGCCAATAGTAAGGTAGAATTTGCTCTCAAGCTTGGCTCATATGTACAGTTTGAATTCCAGATCTCTCTGTTTTAGTCTCCACGAGAGCTTCAGTCTTTGCTTTGGAAACTGTTCTACTGTTGTAGTAAAGTTTGTCTTTGTGCATTTTGAAGCGCTATCCTATATTCCCTCGATCTTAACCTCTGTCTGCCTGGTCTGTGTGAAAGGATTCCTTTCCTATTCAAGGTTTCATCAAGTCCTCTTGTGACCTGACACCTCACACTCCGGCGGGGTGCTCACTGCCTCCCTGGCTATCGGCCTGTGCTTTCACTCTTTTGGGGATTCGGTGCAGACTAAGAAGGTTGTTTCTTCGGGCTGCCCAGATGCAGCATTCTCTTTAGACCCAAGACTGGCCTGGTCGCTCTCATTTGCACGGCCTTTACAGCAGCACAACACTCTTGGAGAGAACAGGATCTTCATTTTATTTGCTAGCTGACGCATTGTACAATTCCAATAGGCACAGTTTTCGTTCTCCTTGAAGTGTTCGGTTCACGTTTATTGTTTTAGAGTTTGACGGCGGTAGGTTCCCATGTCCTACACCGTTTAGCCCACATGAGCCCATTTTTCAAGATGTAGCATAATGAATACACTGCATTCTGTGATATAATACCCAAGAATCACGGCTTAAATAGGCTACAGAAAAAAACCTTAAACGGTTTTCCACAGAGTCACATTCTCCTAGGGCGAGTGTTTCATAACCCAACAACTGCCTGTAATAAAACACCCCTCCCCACACACACACATTAAAATGTAAACTAACTGCAAAAGTAAATATTTTAAATATTGGTGTTTATATATTCTATATTATATTGAATTATATGTAATACTTTGTTACGCCGTTTCCGTTGCATAAATCATGAATACACTGCATTCTGCAAAAGATTAAAATAGTGGGCAGTACGATGGCCCTATGGCTGAGGATCTGTGCCTGTGGCTGGAAGGATGCCGGTTCAATTCCCTGTCTGTGCGTCTCATGGAGAGCAGCCTGGGGTCTGTGAAAAGACAAAGTTCTACTACAAGAAACTGTATATGGCCAATAAAGTGATCTTATTGTATCTTTAATACTCCTGTAAAAATGAGTGCTTCTATGTCAGACGTGCGTGCTAGAGCGTCATCGAGAGCAGTCACGCCCTGGGGAGGCACCACGGAGGCCGGTACCTGCGAGCATCAGCGCCCGGACGCACTCCGTCCGGCCCTGCATGGCGGCCTTCATCAGCGCCGTGAAGCCGTGCACGTTCCTCCGCTCCAGGTCCAGGCCGGGGAAGTAGTTGAGCAGGTAGTTGGAGATCGTGATGTGTCCTGCGGGAGGGAGGGGCAGAGCGGTCGGGGTCGGAGTAGGGCAGGGCTGGACACGAGTCCCGAACGCGCCGTGAGGCCGGAAACCCTCCTGTCACTGATGGCCATCACGGGTACGGCAGAGAAAAATCATCTCTCTTTGCTTTGTACAAGGAAAGACAGTATAGACCTCCTGACTGATGTCACTGCAGTTTAGGCTCCCATCTCCTGTCAGCACGGCAAAGTACCCTAAGAAAGTCATTACTAACCCACAATAAATTAATTTGACTTATTTTAAGAACATCTCCGTTCTTGAGCACTGATAAAGACAGTGATGTGGTGGAACTATTTCTGTTCTCAGTCTCTTAATTCATAATTGATTACTTTAAAGGTCACAGCAGGCTGGACTTAATTAAACCATTAACTGCTGGGGAGTCTGGGTTCCTTGCAGCATGTTCGTAGTAATGAGCTGTTATGGTTCAGGGGCCCACATTTCATTATAGACTGAATGTTGTTTTAGAAATATTCAGTCTTTCCTTCACATCCACTTCCAACAAATGCTGCTCAGTGCTAATTATGTGTAAACAGATGTGTTTTTGTATTTTATTTGTTTTTTAGTATTTTAGAATTTTCCAGTGAAAGAATACGTAGAGCAGGCTTTACCTAAACCCACCTTTACAACACTGCAGCCTGCCAGTGGGCATACAGTACACAGGAACCCTTCAATGTGCTGTACAGCAGGCTTGTAAAAACAGACAAGCCATGTCCTACCACATTGTGTCCCGACCGGAATATTACTAAAACGATCTTCATGCACAGATAAAGACTGTTTTTCTCTTACATTACACTTTAAATCCTGGAAGCTGTGGTTTTGACAAAACCGCCTGGTCAGAGACAGTTCAGGTCTGCTCTGTTTCACGGCATGTGTGTGGAAGGACGGCGCTGCTGAAAACAGCACAAGGCAAAGTACGAGAGCAGATCCAGCTGAACCTGCAGGGTCACAGACACCCAACTGCTGCGCGATACAGATGTAAAAAAGTGAAACGCAGCAGAAACGCAATTCGATTAAAAAGCCATTAATCCACTGTCCTGCCCTAGCCCTGTGTTCTTGTTTAATGGGTGCCGAGGACGAGAGGTCGTACCTGCCTGGGCAGCAGTGATGAGGGCAGTGTTGCCTTCTTTGTCCTGCCAGTTCACGTCAACGTAGGGGCACTGGGCCAGGGCTGTGACAACATCCACATAGCCCTGGTAGCAGGCAACCATCAGTCCAGTCTGAAAAGCACAACAGGTACAGACGTTGAGAGCTCTATTACTGCACTCTCTTCACGAGAACCTGTTCAATTCCACACCCGATATTCTGTACGGAGACCTGTTCAGGCTGCAGGTGTGAGTGTGATACTGTATATTTCACGTTGGGCTGAAAGAGGAAGCTGTGTTCAGAAATACAAACTTGCTTTGCAGAACAAGCCCTGCCAAGGAGTGGATTAGATAATTAACACACAGTAGCCATTAATGTACAGTAGCCATTCTCTTGTTTTCATTCACAAGTGCCAAAAGTGCTCTCTTTGTTCTCCCAGGGCCCTGTTCTTAATGGCCTTGCTTTGAGTTTTCGGTCTGTGCCAAAGTTCACAATGAGACAGGGAAGAGCTCAGATGATCAGATGCCTGGGGGGGACAGAGTCTATCTCTCTCAACTACAGCACGTCGTGTTTCACTGGGAAGCATCTTCCTGCTGAGAAAAAACGATGGGACGTTCCCTTTTACTTTAATTTTGGATTCCTGTTTATTTTTATGAGTTTTGTGACACCTTTATGTGTTATGTAACAGCCATACACATGAATCTGATATTTTATCCAGCTATTATAGTTTAATAAAGAAATGATGTATAGTGATCTGTATCACTTGTACAGCATACTATATACACAACATCGCTCAGGTTTTGAGCACTGCAATCTTCCAGAAGCTCACACTGTAAGAACAAAAGAGAGCTTACAAACAAGGAGAACATCCAGCCCTTCTATCCTGTTTGGGGCTTTAAAACACACATAAGAATGTATGTACCTGTAGCAACAGAATTAAGGAATAGCCTTCGATGATATTGCCCAGCCATAACGTACTGTTACTGTGCTCTCTGAAGCAGAAAACAGAATTTCAGTGCTTATTTTTTCCAGGAGATCAACAACAACAAAACAATCAAGCCATGAAACACATTATAAGAAAAGGTTTTTAAAGCGCTTGTAAAAAAAAGTTTGCCACCCACTACACACTGTCAGTCAGGATGTATTTCATTGTGTCAGCGTTGTCAACAACACATTCTGGCAGATGGAATCAAAGCATGGAAACGTGAACAAGCTGGACAGAACCACGCGGCTGAATGGAGGATGTAAAACCAAGAACACTGTAAACAACAGTGACCAAGGTCAGGGAGCTTCAAGTCTTATGGGGCTTTTTTGTAAAAGATTCTGTTTCTTATTTTGTTGCAGCCAACTTATCTATCTATTTATTTTGTATTGGGACAATCAACAGCTGGTTGTTACAGGCAGGCATCTTTGAGCAGCTCAGCAGGTAAGTTCATGAGACCCGAGTCGCTCTCCACTGGGGACCCGGGCCCAGGCCGGTCCTGTGTCCAATCCCAGCACGTTCACAGAAGACTCGGCTGCGGTCTGGGAGCCCAGCAGCACCACGTCGGGGAGTAACCGCAGATCCGCTGTGAGCGCTGCAGTTCACCTTCCCTTCCAAACCCAGAACCCGGAATTTCAGAACCTCCTGAGAACCCCAGCCAGCTGCTGCTTCCTGTTCGGACCCGAGCCGAGCCTGCGTGACCCTGCCAGAGCCAAGAAGAAGCTGACAATCCACAGAGACGCCAGCGTCCACCCAGCCTTGGGATCATGATGTTGTGGATATAATAATAATGATAATAATAATAATAATAATTGCTTACACTTATATAGCACTTTCCTGGACGCTCCACTCAAAGCGCTTTACAGGTAATGGGGATCCCCTCCACCACCACTGTGCAGCCCCACCTGGATGATGTGATGGCAGCCATAGTGCGCCAGAACACTCACCACACACCAGTTCTCAGTGGGGAGGAGAGGAGAGTAATGAAGCCAATTCATAGATGGGGATTATTAGGAGGCCATGATTGGTAAGGGCCAATGGGGAATTCTGGCCAGGATGCCGGGGTTACACCCCTACTCTTTTCGAGAAACACCATGGGATTTTTAATGACCACAGAGAGTCGGGACCTCGGTTTTACGTCTCATCCGAAGGACGGCATCTGTTTACAGTATAGTGTCCCCATCACTATACTGGGGCATTAGGACCCACATAGACTGCAGGGTGAGCGCCCCCTGCTGGCCCCACTAACACCGCTTCCAGCAGCAACCACTGGTCCCCAGTTTCCCGGGGTTTTGTCAGGAGGTGTTTGTGACTTGTTTCCCAGGGAGACCTGGAGGATCCTGCTCTGTCTGGGGGGGTTCACCGCTGTGCTGCTCCTGAGGGACACTTCCTGCTCTCTCCATGGTTACCACGCACGTGAGCTCAGGAAAGCCAACAATTCAAAAAGAGGCCCAGGCAACCTTGAGTGACTGTGAAGATGCAGTTTCTATTAAGTGAGAATGAAAAACTCTCCTACCTCCAGCGCTACACAAAATTTTAATAGTGATTCTGTTCTAAAAACAGTCTTTAACAAGCACATTCATAATTCGATCAGAGGGACCTTTCCCGAACGATTTTAATGTAGAATGCTCTATAGAGGTTGGAGTGGAGGCACATAAAATTAACACTGACTGCAAATCAATAACCTTATCAATAAACAGACGAGCACAGAAATACACTTTTGAGAAAAAAAAGTTTCCAATCAATTTGTTCTGCATTACATTACGTCAGCCCCAAAGACCCTTCATTACTCGCCGCAGTGAGGGGGAGAAGAGGGCTTTCACAATCGAATGAGCTGTGCTGGGACATTCCTGTCAGTGTTTGCTTGGTGCACCACGCCAGCACCCTCTACCTTCTCATTACCCCATTGTTATTTCATTACGCTTGTTCACTACTGTCGAAAAAGAAAGGATCAACACAGGAAAGGATGGGCATTCCCTGACTGCTCTTCAGAGTGCTGCCCAACGACCAACTACCAGGTTAATCATTAACAGCCACGGCCCAAACCTGTTCCCCTTTCCTGCAGGGCCATAATCGTGCAGGGTTCACAACCTCTAAGATGGTTTCAAAACAGAATTTAAATCGGGGGATGTCATGTTAAATTTGTATGATGCGTTGGTGACTAATTCCTCATTTGGAAAACTGTACAATTTTGGTCGCAATGTTCCAAAGAAAGACAGCGCTGCTCCAGAAAGAGAAGAGTGATCAAGTGCTTTCTTGGTCTGAAAGGAGTGAATAGAGAAGATCACAAGGAGACCTGATCTAAGCAGTCACAAGCCTCATTGACGTCTTTAGCATAAACAATCAATTAGACTTTAGATTGTTGGATCAATTAGATACAAGCAGCCGTGGTTGTTAAGTTCCCCAAATGGCCTCCTTTCATTTCTAACCTTTCTCATGTTCTCATCAATCATTATTTACCTGGGAGAAACAGACAATTTGTCCAATTAAGTCTTACCTGTTTACTTAAAAAATAGCTTTGATAAAACATCTAAATTATATCATCTGAATTTATAATCAATATGTGTAGTCAATGATAATGAGAAAGACTTATTAATATTATTACTTTTTATCTGCAGTACTTCAGGCATGGACATCATCTGTCCCAACACTGTTTCCTTATCAGTGGTCCCACCTGATGCTCAAATGACACTGCATGGTAAAAAAGCAAACTTCAGTTACTTTCAAGTGACACAGGTCTGGTTGTAGCTTTGGTTCGCTGTGGGAACTTGGTGAAATTAAATCTGATCGTGTAGGAGGCAGTCTCTACAAGAGGGTTTCCAAATTCCAGTTTCTGCCCATATAACAGCTAATAGGCATACATTATTCAACATATATGTGAAAAACATAGTTTAATAAAATAAGCTCAAATTCCAGATATTATTCCATTAAATTTTACACTCAAATATTAAAAATTGGCATCTTTACAATGCAAGGTCTTATTTTATGCACGACTGATAGTGTCATGTATCAATTCATTGCTTTAGAGCTTCTAAGAGCACACTAAAACTTTTTGACAAATCAAATGTTCCCAGATTTATTACCTTTCAGTGGAGTTTTCTGGAAATTCTGTATGAACAGCATGAAGTTGTTAAATTTCACACAGCGCTTTAACACCACCAGAGACGTATTCTTTTCACCTAATTTAAAACTGCAAAATGTAAATCATCTTCCTGCATTTCAACACAAGATTAACTTTAAGCTACATTGCTCCATTAAAAAGTAACAGCAGTGCAAAAACGCACTTCAATAAAGCTGACTGTAGTTGAAATTGAGGTTTTAAAGCCGTCACGCACTTGTCAACCAACCCCTCCCACCAGAAAACGAAATGATCTCTCAGAGTTTTGATGTTTTATTGTCTACCAGCCCAATGCAGTTGGAGGCTTTGACTGACAGGACTGTGGTACAGAAAACAAAACTGAGAAAGTAAGTGGCAAGCCTGTCATTCAAACGTGAACTACACAATGTACTATAAACTAATCAATAAATAAACAAAAGGTTTATTTAAACTAATCAGTAAATACACAAAAGGTTTATTTAAACTAATCAATAAATACACAAAAGATATGTGGTCTCCTGGAATGATCTCTTTAGTCCCGCTCTCAACTCCTCCTACCCATTCTCATGTTCTTTCTTTTGCCCTCCTTACCCCACCCCTCTCTCTCCCTCATTCCTCCGTGCACTGGAGAGGCTCCACAGATGACTTGTCCTTTTCTTCTGTCTTTCTGCTGACGCAGTTCCTGAATTTCTCCCCTGCAGCACGATGTTTAAAGAGACAACTAAAAAAACGAGCACGGTTTGTTTTTGTTCTCGTCAGTTGGAGGTGAACACATTATTATCTCCAGGATGGCTCTGCCACTAGAGGAGCTCACCTGTGCCGCTGCTTCCAGACCAGATGACAGTTGTTCGCTTTTCAGCCGTGTTGTACACTGACTGTGGCTGGGACCCCCCATGTGCTGGCGCCCCACTGAGCCTGCGATGTCTGCTGTGAGAGGTGCGCTGCTGCTCTAATCAGCGCTCACTGCTGTAAGGACTGAGCAGCGTACAGCATGCCAACCTGCAAGTGGCTTGACTCTGTGGACGCTGGAGGGGAGTGTTTGCAGGCCTCGTTTC